CTATCTAAAACATGCAGCTTGTTTGGAAGCCACTAAGAGTAATTGGTTAGCCATATTATCTTGAAAGTGCAGACCAAACACGTCCCAAGACATTCAATTACAAAACCGATTACACTCGATACATAATCGAATCAACAGCCGTCTAATCGATTCGTTGAAGATGAACGATACATCCGCCTTAGGTTCTACGACTTCCTGCGAGGAGCCATGATTTCCTCCGAGCAGGTAATCACTTTTCCGGATTTGATACCATCGCATTGTAAGGGTAATTAACGCATTCGATTGAATAAATGAATGAGATTGCTTTAATTAACGCTAAAGGTAGACTTTAATATTTTCACACGTCATTGCATCTAATGGCAGTAAAAACATTTAAAGAAGGATTTTAGATTTTAAAAAATTACGACGCGGTCGGAATTTGAACCGGCAATCTTAAAGTGTGAAGACACTGGATCTTAACACGCTAGTCTTAAGATTGAAATTGCTTGCGCGAGGCGCGTCAAGGGTTGAAAATTTTTACAGGCGTGGGGGGCGGGGGGGGTTTTGGAGGGGGGAGCGCGGGGGGGGGGGGGGGTGGGTTTTTCTTTTTTCCCCCTCCCAATTATTTTCAAACTAAATTTTATTTTTTGTTGTACTTATTAGCTTACACAAAAAAAAATTCTTTAGCGTTTTAGGCCGCTTGTTCTCAGTTTATTTTGAATACGAATTTTTAATAACATCATGAGATCATGGATCAACATGAATATTTTGTGTACGCAACCATCTATAGTTTATCTAGACTATAAAAATAGTAACCCCTTTTTTATTGATGTTATAATATCAAGCTTTAAAAACCGTGAGCACTTCGTAGAACATTGCTACGTAAAATGTGATATAAATTTAAGGTAAAACATTTTTAACGATTTAAAACGTGAAATACATAAACTTATTAATTTTGTTACTGTGCAGTTTTTACCGCAGTAACGTTATTACACGTTTTAAGCCGATAAAATGTCTGATTTCAATATATACTATCGCGTAATCTACAGACAATAATAAAGCGTACACATAAGAAAGTCAATATTAATATAAGTGCTGATTGTACGACTGTAAAAATGACATAAAACGATTTTGCCAAAGAAAATAAACGGACTTCTGAATAAATAAAGCTTAATAGTAGAACAATTAAATTTATGTCGTCCATTAAGGACATTCTGTGAAGGAAACTAGAGGGGTTAAATGTTTAATTATCTTACGCGGAAATAATTACTTTATTAATTTAACTTCCAATGTAAATCGTTGCGCCGTTTGCGTGAACTGCAAAGAGGGAGTATTAACAATATTTTCTTAAAGGCTTTATTCAGATTGTGTTTGATATTGAAAATTATTTTCCTTTCTTTGACAACCATTTTAATGTTACAAACAAAATTAGTTTGTAAGAATATATAAACATGTTATATTGTACCGCACAAACACCAACCTTTTTTTTCAACATGTTCTTAAAAGACCATCTACCGTATTTTTATTGGACGGTTTAAGTGTAAGTATGTTTGTAAGTATCTATTTTTCTTCACTAGAATTAACTCAATTATACGCGGTACATCGCAGACGCATCTGGTGTTGATATATTTTCCGTAGGAAAGTATTTATATAATAAAGGAAAAATTTATACTATATTGTTTTGCTCCAGAAAACCGCTAGCCAAACGGTTATGTAAAAATCAGTGGAAAAAGGTTGTGACAATAGCAGGAAGCTGTAATGTTTCAGACCGGGACGGTTTCATAAATATTCAAAGGCAGAATCCCTGGGTGCCAAGGATGAAGGTTTCGTAGACCCTTACAATTTATCTGCCTTAAATTACAAAATAAATGTTGTCAAATATTTGGGTTTAAAGAAATTTATAGCTTGTAATTATAGCCAAGAGAACTTAGACAAATATAATCACACAAACAAGGAAGTCAAGGAAATATATTCAAGTAAAATATTTAGGTGCCGTTACTTGTATTTACATCAAGGTATATAGATATGAAACATGTATTGTTTTGTTAGAAATATTTGAAGTAAGTTAAACGAATTGCATTAGCTCAAACACGATTTTCCTCTTGTATATTATTGAAAAAAAACTTTTGAATAATACACAATAATGAAAGGTTTAAACTGAAATTGCAAATAAGCTAGAATTGAAAACTAAAAGAGTATTATTCTACGACAAGTATTGCAGTATATACACCAAGAAGAAAGATCTCTGTTACGATGTCTACAACACACGTGCAAAATATGCAACAGCGGTTCAGAATACTAAAAATACGATCCTCTTGTACATCTTATTTTAAGACAAAGATCTTTGAACCTTACCCCGTAACCTAAATTTAGAACAGAGCCTCTTTGATATCAGCTAGAGTGTTCAAAAATGTGTCAAAGGCAGTTTCACACGAAGCGACCTCTAAACTGCCCGCATAGGATCAAAAGATGTTAGCGGAGTGACAGTGAAATAGATTATGTAAAATCCTATATTTGCTTTGTTAAAATTACGTTCAAACTCGGCATTATGGACTTAAGAACTTTCTAGTTCCGCGCTGTTCGAAGCGAGGATAGTGGAATATTAAAAATATTACAGCGGATTTCATTCGTACATTTCAATATAAATAATTATGAAATTAAAATGTCAGTGTTTTATACTTTTCGTTTTTATAGAAATATAAGAAATGAAAAGGAATAATAGAATTTTGATAATTTTGGTTACTCTCTAAGTAGTATTTTCTTGATCAAATTTGTTTCTAAAGCGGTGTTTTAGAATGCAATTTATACATGAGGAAGAAAAAACAAATTTATTGCAAAAGTACTACAACATTTTTATCGCAAACAAAATGCACAGCCACAGTCTTTTTCAGCAATGAAACCTTGAAAACGCTTGTACACTTATATTTTAAGTTATAATGTTACTTTTAGGTACTTAACAATTCTAGTTAATTAACAAAAATATTCGCAACACAGCATTGCAATTAACGTGTGCAGCCGTGGAGATCAGATTCACAAGAGATCCAACCTAGATACCACAATGCATTATTTTTAAGGCTCTAGATTCATCGACAGTGGCACTTTTTTATCCAACGACAACGAAGCCAAACCGATGAGTCATTATTTAGTATTATTCAGTTTATGTATATTTCATATTGGCTTTGACGGTACCAAGACAATTTTAAAAATAATCATCATACGAAAGTATAATTCCTAACTTAGACAAATTAACTCAGTTTATAATAAATTAATATTATTCAGAAAAAAATAGTTGGCTTTGAGAGAGACATACAAAAAATGTAACACATTGAAGCTGAATATTACTACAACATAATACATTGCCTGATGTATACAATCGTTGTAAAACAAGACTTCAAGTACTGTCTATAGTTTACGCGAGTAGTCCACATTTAAATAAAACACTTTAACGGTTTAACACGAAACATTGGGCCGAAGTTAAAAATCATTTTCAAATACGTTTAACTAATATATCGCGTTTTAAATCGTTGAAGTGTTTTATTGAATCAAGACTTTATTAACTTAAGACCTTTGAGTTCTATTTTATTGTTAATCGCACATGTTTCAATGCCGAGCTTTTTGTTCATTTATGTTTTATTATTACAATGACATATTACTACTACTAATTAATAAATAATATTAGTAGATCATTGGGTGAGAAAATAATACGAGTTTTTAAGATTTTTAACATAGATCCACAAGCCAAACCTCTACACATGGATTATCTTGTATATCCCATCTTGCAGTGCATAGCATTAGAAATTGAAAGGCAATGGATTAAAAAAGACGTCAACCCACAAGATGGGGAAATTGAATAGAAAATGAGAAAAGCTCTTAGATCCGGGTTATTGATTTCAAACTCTGATTGGCCGTTGATTTGATTTGCCAATTGCATAGCCACTTATCGGTTTAAGATTGAATATTCAAGGGTAAATGTATTTCCTCTGTCTTACTTTAAAAGGAAATTTGTTTTCTTAGAGACAATATACATTGACTAAAAATAAACCTGATATTTTCTAAAGGATTACATAGCGTGGGTATGACTTTAGTAAATATTTACATATGTATTAATCTAATTAACTTTTTGGATAGTAGAAAATTGATATTAAAAAATAGTTTTCTTTTTACCAATATGTAACCGTTATGTTATCAATCTGCACTTTTAAACTAACTCTTTGAATTATAAAGTTTAAATTGATTTTTTACCTCTTAGCAATATGATAGTGATATTTATATACATGACGTTTAGTACGTAACTAACATGTGTAATGTACGTATAATCTATTTTTTTCGTAATGGGAATCGTAAAGATAATAAACATTACGTCGTTACGTGTACATGAAAAAGTTTCACAAATTAAAACATTGATTTCCTCCCACGTACACTTGTATGAAGTAGGAATTTACGCCCGCTTTCACGTTGCAGCACCCTTTAAAAAATTCATCACAGAAAGTTCTATTTGAAGAGAAATTAGGACACGTGGAGTATTATGTTGAGCGTGCACGGACCGAGTACCTGTTTAGGAGGCGACCGGGGAACGAATAGGTTTTGAGGTTAAAGATAATTCGTACTCACAATGGGGCGCGAGGGGGCCACATCGCCATCGCACGAGGCCGCCCGCGTCGGCCGCGCCTCCGCTACCGCATCACGCCAACCCAAATAAGCCGCGCGTGCTAAGATCGCGCGCGTAAAAACCGCCGGCTCGGCGTCGCCGCTCGCAGTCCACGTAACGCGCCGAACAGTCCGACTGTCAACAATTCACAAACAATCACTGTCCGTTCGCTAGGCGAGGCGACGACAGCACGAGCGCCGCGCTCTACCGGCACGCTTTCTCGCATTGTCGCATTGCAGGAGATGTACGCTTGTATTACGGCGCCTCTATGAATTTTACATTTTACATTCTGGCGTATTCGGATCGATTCGGATACTCACATTAGCATGCCAGCGTGGGCTGCGCTATCGGCTAATGCGAACGGGGGGCACGGTCATGTCGTTCTCCGAAGAGTGGTCAGGGCCGGCCCGCGGGCAGGCCGGCCGCTGCTGGCACCGCCGGTTGCGGCGTCGCTAGGTAAGTGAGATATGGCGCGCGGGGCGCGAGCGTCGGAGGCGACACGCGCGTTTAGCACTGCAGGCCGCCACTGAGGGGCGCCTGGCTCCCCCCCGCGGACCCCGCCGCGCTGCCTCGCGCCATGTGCCTGGACCGAGCCTAGCGAAGGGCTGTCGACGATCGCTTTCAATTCCTGCTTGGCTTTTGACAGACTCGCTAACACATGTCTGATACGTGAAGGCGATTCGTTGAACTTTTTCATAATTTTAATACCACTTCACTCAAAAGTGGAGTCGGTAATGGCGAATTGCTTAAATTTTCCTATGTATTATGCTAAAAATTATGATTTTTATTCAAAAATTTACAAAAATGCCCCGACTAATGTACGTAACTTATATAAAATAAAGTATACAATACAAGTAGACTTTATTTACTAACTTTACCAAATACATCACATTAAGGTTTCAGCGCTATATTATGAGAAAAGTGGTACTTATTAAAAAAATAAAAATTCCTGAAAACCTGCTCGCCAGCCCTGCATTTTCAGTGGTGCGTCCGCCATCCGAAGTTACCCGAAGGTTGCCGATGACTGCGACTACGATCCCGACCGAGCGAGCTCGACTGACGCCGCCCAGTCGATAAGGCCGTCTCCTCTCGTTGAACAAAGACAGTAACCTATAATAATCACATTTAATTGAGGATAATCTCACTCGATCACCGAACGAGTACATCGATGCAGGTTTCATACAGAATTGATCGTGGTTCAGTTAAAAACCGTTCAATCACGTGGTAGCGGTAAACGCACTGATACGCTACGCCGAGCACATGGCCGTGTCGAAATGTTTTGCTTTACATAAATAGCACATCGATTTAATAACTTTTTACATACATAAACCCAAAGGTAGATTGGATTATACCTTCATTAGCCTTCACAAGACACACATCGTACAAAATAAATATAATTCATTATAAACAGCAGGATACAAAGTATTTAGTTTTCACTTGTTTAGTATTTACAATCACATTCTAAGAAATTCACACATATAATGGTATATTGAAATAACTTAACAATATACCAATGTGTATTCATTAAAATTACGCATATTTCCATGGAAATAAAATCGGTAATGATATTTTATTTAAAATTTTAATATAAATCGAGTTCCAGTGACCGTACTCGTTGAACATCGCATCAGCTTTAGGTAGATTTAAATATCAACCTCGCATGGGAATCAGTTTGGCGTAAAATAACCAAAACATCGACAATTTTTTGACAAATGGTTGAATTCAATATGAAATTGAAACTTACATATGTAGGTATTGAACGGAATTATTTAAAATTAATATACAATTTCTTATACAACTTATTATATTTAAAATTGTCTATTAAAAACATATAAATCGATTTCATATTAAAAAAAAAACATGTAACAAGGCCGGGACTTAAACCGGAATCCACAGGTTTGTGCTGTTACTCAAAATCAATGTATTTTTTTATATGTATGCCAAATCTTCGAGTTTTATTATACTTAAAACAACTTATATTATAATACACGGATAATGTTTTTGTTTCAAATGTAATTATTGTACAAAATAACGATGTAGTACTTATTACCAAAAAAAAAAACTTAAAAACTAAATGATTACAAAGAAAATGAAATTGTTTGTATGTGGTTTTGGAAATGTTATGAACAGAAGCCATGTTTTAGTGTCATAGAACCATCTACTATTTTAAAATCTTAACTACAATTATTTATTGTTATCAAGCTTCGTTCTACAGAAGAACCGATCTTAAAATGTACATTACTTGCTACGTCGTAGCATATTGTAGCGAGCTACGCTTTCCGTAGCATTGCTTACGATTGTAAAACGCATTAATACAAACAATAGTTGTCGTTATTTCTTATAATAAATAGTTTTATTATTATTTAGTAATTATTATATAACACTGACATTTGATAACGTCTACGTAAGATCAAAATGCTAAAAACCGTTGTTTCATATGTGTATAGTAGTCCCATTTATGTTTCCTTTTCACTAACTTATTTTGTTTACCAATAGCAGCAAGTAGGTGATAAGAAATTTGAACCCTGCTCGAGAAAACTAATTTATCGTGTTTGTACAGGATGTTACCTCTCGCGTTTAATACTAGACATGTTTTTTTTAAATAAGTCGTGGAGTAAAAGTCATGACCTTAATTAATTTATGTATTCTCGTATGGAAAACTTACAGCTAGTACAATAGAAAAGTCAACAATTAGATATCAGAAAGTCAATAAAAAAATTCACTCTTAGATTCAGAAATATAAATATTTCCAAAAAAATTAAAAAGGCGTGTAGACAAATTAAAAACCTACCGTTATCATTAATGTTACCAAAGTTATAAATAATGTAACTTGAATTACTAAAGTATTATCTCGATTCAATATAAACTAATATCAATATTTAATTAGCGTAAAATTTTAGTTAACCCTATCATTGGTGTCAACTCGAGTAGGGTGACCACAGCCTCGATGAAGCGCAGATTATATGACGAAGTGATTAGCGATCCGCTGTTGTGGTTAGATTAGGTATGTCATTCAAATGGAATGGTGTATGTGAACGCTCGGTTTTTGATATTGGTTTTAGAATAGGCTCGGTAAGTTATTTGCATTGATATCTGTGTTATGCGTTCATTATACCAGGGTCTCCCATAAATGTCACGACGAATCGTGAGATCGGTGTAGAGCATAACGCTTTATGTCACTTTAATAACTTATTTTTGATCTCGGTTCATAGGTCCAGCTAATATATTAGAATATCGCGTAACAATGTACGTGACTTACAGCCTTTATATCAGACTGCGGCCTTACATTAATATCAGTACTGTGAGTTAATTAATACTCAACATGATTGACATTATTGAGAACGTTGAACTGAAATTCGTTGTTATGAAATTATATTATCATTAGAATTGCATAACAATATCATAACATGGCACGTTTAATAAAACTGAGATAATTAGTGTAAGTAAGTAAACTAATATATTGCACGTGTTAGTATTTATCTATACTAATACATAAAGTTGAATAGTTTATTTGTTTGAACGCGTTTATCTCAGGAACAACTATTTCGAATTGAAAAATTATTTATTATCCACAAAGATGACTTTGTGGGTTTCCATTGCGTACGCTACGAAAACGGTTTAGGATACCCAAAATATATGTATAAAAGAATGATTCCTCTTTTAATTATCTAAATAAAATGTCTGCAACGGTATATGTCTATTTTTTAAGATTAACTTGCAAAAACGACGGGAAGCGAACAACGTCGTAGGTAATGTAATTTATAGAGATGTGGAGGTTTGGAAAAACAAATTTGATGTCTAAATTTATATTCTACGCGGACGAAGTCGCTTACACAACTAGTTTATCTATATATCACGTAAATGTCTTTATATCATTGAGTTATTAAAGAAGGAAAACAGGAAATTTTTTAAATAAAAGCATCATAAATTAATTGTTAAAAGTGAAGTAATATCTTTGAAGACACAATTAGAATTATTTCCAGAGATTTAGGCACATCATTCCAGAAATATTTCCTTTAAATAAAAACAGATTAATCGATAAAAATATTAAAACATAGTTTAATCTTAAATTCAGTCTATAGTTTACGCGAGTAGTGTTAGTAGTTTGCAGAAGCCACGGTCCAAGCGAGACACGGCTGTTGCAAAGCATCCGAAACGTCGGGCCGTAGTTAAAAATAATTTTTAAACAAGTTTTAAAATATATCGCGTTTTAAACCGGTAAAGTGTTTTATTGAAATCGTTTAATATTAATAAAATGTGTTATTTTTTTTGTTTAATTGATGGATGAAAATATTATTGAGTAAAATTACATTTTAATTCGCAATTAGGTAACTGAAAAAAAATGTCATTGATATAAATGAAACAATAATAAAAGATTTTACTGGTACTTTTACCCAATTTTCAGGCAACAGATAAACACTGACGTTAAATTGCTTTCAGAGAAACTATTACTTACTACTGTAAAAGACTTTCCTTTTTCCTTTTACTTAAAGATTTATTTATTATTTTCTAAAATTTAAACTACCTGATTGCCACTTATTTCGCCTTATAAAGTTCAAGTATAAGATTATCATTTATTTAATCGCTTAGAAATTAATTTTTATTCTACACAAATAAAATATAAACCTCAGAAACAAGTGAAGCATTTCCTTCAGGTTTCTTTTAACTAAAAGTGGTGCAACTTCTATAAAGATTCAAGTGCTTAATTTTATACCCTGGATACGAATTCCGAGTAATGCTTTGAATTAGCTAGCTCAGCCGAGGAGGTTTGCGACTTCTCAAAGGCATACCTTGACCACGTTTTGTTAACGAGGCTAAAAGACGTATCTGGGTGAAACCTTTTGATTTTATATAAACACATAAATCTGTAGTTTATGCGAGTAGTGTACGTAAAGGAAAACACTATAAACGGTTTAAAACGAAACGCATTAAGAATAAAGAAATGTAAAATTTATCTGCGACACAACTTTAGTTAAATCAAAAAACTTAACTAATTAAATAAATTTGACGTCAGAATGAGACATCTTCCATCTTTAGTCTCCTCGTGACCACGGCTGCTGCAAAGCATCCGATACGTCGGGCCGAAGTTAAAAATCATTTCCAAATAAGTTTACCTAATATATCGCGTTTTAATCCGTTAAAGTGTTTTATTTAAAAGCATCAAAATTGTTTAATTCAATATTTGAAAAAAACACTTTAACAGTTCAACACGCGATAAATAGTAGTTAAAGCTATTTGAAAATTATTTTTAACTTCTTCCCGACGTTTCGGATGCATTAATTCAACATTTATATTATGTTAATGCACTTTATTTTTTTATGGCTGTTCGTAAAATGGTATGTACGGTTAAGAATAAATGGGTCATAGGGTCGAATCTCACCGGGTCCAACATTTCACTAATCGATTTATAATTTTCTGATACTTGTCGAACGACGTGGGGAAATCTGGATAATCAATGCGTGGTAATATTGAAATTTCGTTCGGTTCACGAACCACTGTTCGGAGGTGAAAAATTTTAATCGCCTTTCAGTTTTATATGGCTGGGGTGTTTCAGGTACCATCATACCCACATACTTGTCTGTCCTTTTAGAAAAAAACCCACCACTCCGCTCCAGCTTGAGTTGGCATGCCAACGATAACCACTGCTAAACTTAACTTGCTCTCCGAGGCACGGGGAGACTTGATCACACCTCCCATTTCTAACGTCCGGATTTGTAAGTCCAAACTCGCTACATTGTGATCTGGTCAAACATGAACCAACGAGTCTTACACTTAGATTTTAATAATGGAGCAATAAGCATGTTTCATATAGAAAGTAACTATATTCACAAACGTTCCCTTCGGAAATTGCTTGTAATTCTGAAGATGCAGTCAACTTTACGTCGACTTAAAAATGCACTTAGATTTTGTCCGAACCTTGTCACAAGCTGTACATCGAAAGTTATGTTTAAATAAAACACTTTAACGGTTAAAAACGCGATATTTTAGTTTATAAAACGATTTTTAACTTCGGCCCGACGTTTCATGCAGCCGTGGTCACGGCGACCCCTCCCGTGACCACGGCTTAAAATCATGTTCAAGTCATGTATTATAGGACAACTAAAACCCAGTCTAGAAATGAAACTTAACAAAACGAAAAAGAATTAAGCATTACTAGGATACTGAGGATTTTAAAAATGATAATATACTTAAGACGCTAAAACCGAGAATTTATTAGTTTTAATGTGTGTTGTTTTAAAATATTGTTATGGATCTTCTTCCGTTTATATATATTTTTAAAAACATAAGATAAAGACAAACATAGGGTTCATCTATTTTAGCTTTGAACATACGAAAATCCTAAGACTGAATCCGAAACGCCGATTTTCCAACTGTGGAAGTCGGTTCGTATCCCCGACGCAATTCTGTTTATCCTACACGCATTTAATATCTAGGCTTCCTAAACAGTCCGACATGGTAAGGAATTATAACATAAACAACAAGGGCCTGGTAAGAATGATTATAAAAACACACTAAATTGTTTTTTAAGTATTGTAACAGCATGTCAGTAGATCAACGTCGAGCATAAATCCTTTTTCAATTTATCATAGCTTTTCGAGCATACATTTCTACGATATGTAACACCAAGAATACAATTTTACTCAAATTATCAGAACGTTAAAATATCACATCGGAAAGAGATGTTATTTGAAATCAAAATACTAAGGACCGGTTTTGTACTGCCGTCTTCATTTTGCCTGAGGCCATCCTCCGATCTCCACCCTTTTGTGGTTTAATCTTAAGGCTCAATTGTGTGTACTTATGACATATATAATATACAAATAGGCCTATGTTACTTAATAAATAAAGGATTATTTATTATTACCCGACTGCGCAAGATGATTGAAAAGTTTGATATTACTTTAAATTCTGTATGAAATAATGTATTACATCAATATTTTTATACATCGAAACGCAAATATCACGTCTTCTTAAAGTGTCGACGACCCTCTGTTACCATCATCGTTTTAGTGTTTTCTATAATAGAGAGGAAATTAAGCTTATGAGAAATATAGTCTTCTATAAACCTAAATAATCAATAAATAGTGAAACACATTGTTATTAAAGTTAAAAAATGCTAAATTTAATAAAGATACTTTAAATTTAAACTTTTTAAGTCCACCGAACTTAACACTTAGAAAAATTAAAGGGAACTTAAATAATTCATACAGTGTAGTGAAAGTTAAATTCCGTCCCCTGTGGGGCATGGTGTGATTATCCAGTCGACTCCCCTGCCCGACCGGGACATCTTATCGTTGTCTCTGTGTTTCGTGAAACTACATTGAAATTCATGCAATCAAAGTCTCGAACAATCCTTAACAATCGTAGAAAAATGTATAGTCTATACCGGAATATTACAATCTCGATCATTTCTCGCGACAAACTATAGACAGGGTTACCGATATTGGATCGAATAAAACCCCGGATTGCCTTTCATTTCGTCGGATATCCATTATATTTATTACTTTTTAGAGAATTGCCCTCCGGGTTGTAATATTGGGAGGGATTACAAGTCGCGTAATGCAGTTGTGAAATTGGTTTAGATGTGTCGTTAATATTTTTTCAAAACGTCCTTCGATATTGTAGTACGTTATGGTGAACGAAGAATATTAGGTTTTAACGATACAAAAATACCTGAACATATAATTTAAAAATCGAAAATAAATTACAAAAAATGTTGACTACTCTCTACCTATTGATATAGCAACAGCACGAAACGCTGACGATGCCGGTTTAATTCCTGCCTGAGACGAAAATTTTTCAATTTATTTTTGATTTTTAAATTATATAGTACCTTCATGTGCAATAACATGTGAAAAATGTTAAAGTTACCTGAACATATAACAAAAAAAATAGTATTCAAAAATAGGTCGACAACCGATAGGTATTTTAACATAGATAAGTGGCCCACAATATAAAAGATACGGATTTAATTTCATATTATTGGAAATGCGTTGTTGGATAATATATGTATATTAATATAAAAAAGCTAAAAAGTTTTATTGTTTGTTTACCACCTTTGATCTCGGGTACTTTACTACTTTGTTGGAGCATTTATCGAAGAATGCTATAAAATGAAGGAACGCAACGAAGAAACACCGATAAATATGTAAAAAACGAGAGAAATTGTTCATCTTTGAAAATTTACTTCGATTTGTCTGTACATACAGAGCTTATATTCGTTTTAAGTAATAGAACTATCTCAACTCAACATAGCTCTATGTGTTTGAGATGTATGCAAGTAATTTTCCTCTTCTTGTTGAAATAATCTACCCTCAAAACGTTGCATGCTAAAGCAAACACATCTACACTGCAACAAAGTAACAATTCTATGATTAATTGTTGAGAATAAAAACGTTTTCAGAATAGGAAGTCCCGTTGAGGTACTAGCTCTGGCTGATTGCCAGTGTAACTACTCAACATTGTAACACAACCTCACGCTTGTTGATATCGTAAACTGGACTTTAAGTTAAATGAATGTAATCGAGATTTCATTGAGTTATTATTGAGATGCGCCGTTTTCGATGTTCAAAAGGAGCATAGTCGGGTGTCTTTGCCAATGCTCGATAGTAATGTGGGCTAAGTCCATGTAGAAACTGACGGTTAGATTGAGTACTGGCATTCAACTAAATGGTTTTATTTAATTTCATCCCAAATAGAGCATTTGTTAGTGCTGAAGTTAAACCGTTAGCTATTTTTCTTCTCGAGGTTAGAAGTTAGTTTCGTGTTTTAATTTTGTATTTGCTTCATTGTTACTGTTGGTCTAATAGTAGCATGGCTATCAATTTATAATTATACATATTGGACTCGGTCTGGACATCAGGATAATGTTCACAGATGAAAAATTACAAGATCAATCGCGTTTCGCCTACAGTCTATGTCAATCAAATTTGAGATAGATCAAATGCACGTCTTGTTGAAATTTTATATGGCTCAAGCGAACCCCATGGTTGTCTTACCTGTCATAAAAAATGCGTTTTTCACCATTTTTCCCTTTCCATTATAAGAATGGAATTTAATTGTAAAATTTTGTTCCTCGTAAGCAAACCTTTAAAGATGTTAAATCTTGTTTCTCTAGCATATAACTTAACTAATAACTCGAAACATGCCATAATAGTTGATCAATTTCAAAGCTGTTCGAAGACTAACATAATTTGTGAACATTCCTTCCAAGCTAAACACGCTCCACTACTTTTAGAGCTAATTTTCTGTTGATAGTAAACTTGTCAAATATTGGACAAATTTAGATCTTATACAGTTTCAAAGTATTATTTTCCCAGTCTCTACTCTGATAGGACTCTGAAAGGTTTTTTTAAGGGTTCAAAAATACTTTGCTGATCCAGTATAGGTTGGTGGGCTATGAAGATTTTTGACAATACATTACTGACAACAAACGTGACCGATAACGTGGTCTCCAACGCGCGGGGTGTCGACACCTCCTATTTCCCAACTCCGGAGTAAAACGTGTCTCAGTCAAGCTGTGCGCAATTAACTACTATTAAATAAATCTAGAAGTCTATGGGAAGTCTAAAGGTCCATGTCCAGCAGTAGACACCGAATGGCTGAATCGAAAACGAAAACCGATGATTTTACTCTTAACGGTTAACGGTTGTTTCTCTGTGACCTTGGCTGCTGCAAAGCATCCGGGGGAAAAGGATTTCACACTTTTCATGATCGAGGTACCATTTTTATTTTTCATAAATAATTATTAATATGAAAGGTAAAGGCTTATATACAGAAGTGGTGAAGGTGAATACATGAGTAATTGTATAAATAGTCTATATATAAATAAATAATGCTTAGTATACAAAGTGGCTACATATATTATAATAAATATAAAGACGTACATTAACTTAACAACTAAAACAAACGTGTAAAAATTAAAATTAACCAACTGTGGCTCCTTAAACATTTACGCCTCCTAAACACTTGTTCACAATTAAACTAAGGTAAAAGAAAGTACACAGAGATTGGCATCGTTGTATTAAAAATAAACTAAGATCTGTATAGGTGTGAGTGATCTCGAGAGCCCTTACGCCACTTTACCCAGAAAGATGGCAGTTAGCTGAAAATTCTTTTGTAACTCGAGCATCGATTTAACCTTCTCCTCACATAAACAAGTGCCATGTAAAAATTAACTTATTTATTGTAATTATGTAGATTTGGTCTTTATAAGTTAAATTTATTGGTGATTAATTTAACGAACAGTCCTCCACATATTTTTGTTTAAACCGAAATCAAATAAGTTTAACGAATACATTTTGCAGTTTGAGAGTATTGAAAGGGTTTTATTTAAATAACCTTATATTTTCTCCCAGAGCTCGAAGCTTGACTTTCGGTATTTTTTTCGTACATAAAGGATGCCTTATATTTTTAACTCAAGGAAAATTCCGTTACAAATGATTACTATATTTCATGACACGATAAAATGCCCATCGAAAGGTACAAATGACGTCGTCAATGCAAATCTCTTTTCAATGTACTTTACGCAGCTGTGTCCACGGGAATATTATCCAGGAAACAAAGGGAATTTTATTTAGATCCCACGGGAAGAGAAAACTCATCACTGAAAGACGAGAACAATTTGTCTTTTAAAAATAATGTCCTGATTATTTAGCTGAATGATGTAAAAAAAGAACAAATTTCAAATATAAAAA